TCAGTCCTGATACAAAAGATCTCTGTGTTATCTCCTGATTGGATTAGTTCGAAGCCTCATGATGAGTTGATGCAGTGGCATATCAGTGTCCTGTTCATGATAGAAATCCCTACAGTAGTATCAGTGGTGCAATTCAAGAGTATTAGTAATACATCACACACTTAATAAGAGCTTAAACATTAGGTGAGATCAGTGAATCACACTAGTTCATGATGGTCTTGACATCACAAACGCCAGTTTCACCTGATCATAGATTCCTTTGGCTTTTCACAGCTAATTTAAGCAACCAAAGAAAAACTATTTTTAAAAAGTCAAGGTTCAAGAGCCCAACTAAAGCAAACACCGATCGCCATTATGGTGACTTCAAATGAAAGTACAACACCTAAAATCTCAATAAGAGCTTTTGTCCACATATGACAGAAATAAAGTCACACTGGTTAGTAATAAGAAGCTGGTGATGCTGTTTGTGGAGCTGTTTAATCCTCCTCTGCTGAGATCTTGATCAATTTAATGTGTTTTATTTTCAGTTGATTTCATCTTTGGCTTTGGCTGTAAGTTGTGTTTCTCTGCTCTTGTTTCTCTTTCCTTCAGTGATTCTGCTTGTTAACAGGTGTTCATCACTAATGCTCAATCCTCATTTAATCATCTCATTAACTTCATCACCGCTTCAGTGTCACTTCAACACTCTGTAGTGTGGACACGTTTAAGTGCTCTTTAAAACTGAGGATCTTGATGTGGGATTAAAGGGGATAAATGTGTGAGATGAAGAAACACACTGTGAAATGTATTTTTAACAGAAATATACTGTTAATTTAATTTACGGAAGCAAACTGTAAAAAACTGTAGATTACTGGCAACCACAGCTGCCTCTCTTCAGTAATTTCAATCACACATGAATGTGTGCTGCTGTTATTTGCAATAGATTTGAGTTGAATTGATGTTTTTAATGACTTTGCATGAATCAGTAGGTTTTACTTCATGGACTTAAGCAAAATAGTTCTTAAGACTAATATGCTTGCGTTACTTCAACATTATAAATATTAGTTTATAAACAAATGTCAATTGGCCAAATTAAGTGCAGTCGGTTTCTGCAAATAAAATGAGTTAATCTGTTATTCAGGTTCTATTAGGTCCAGCTCTCTGCAACTTACTTTGTTTGTTGCCACTAGATGCCAAAATGTACCAGAAAAGAGAATCTTTCAAATAACAGCTTCTAAAGAGGAGTTATTGCATTATAAGTGAAGCGAGTAAAATTTTCCTTTTTTGCATCTACAAGTGTCATTTTGAGTTT